GGCTCCACAGGTTCGCGGACTTCCTGAGCTGGAGCACCACCACGGTCAGGTGCTCCAGTGTCATGAGCAGGGACGTCTGCCGTTTCATCTTGAAGACCCCAGCCTTGATCAAACTCCTCAATATTCTCAGCATCTAAAGAAAACAAAATGTCATCCAGAATCTGAGCTTCCCTTCCCTCATCGCGCAAGTCATCGTCATGACCAAACATCAGAATCTCGTCCTCCAGCTCTTCCTCTCCCATTGCATCAGCAGCGAAAATTGTGACCTCTTCAAGCTCAGGCTCAAGCTCATCCACAGCCGGATCGTGCTGCTCTGTGTCCTGGTCAGCACCAGCTGCAGGTTGCGAACGCGATCTTGCATTGTCCCTGGGGCCCGCCCTTCGTTTGCTGGATGCCCCAGCTTTGGCGCCAGCTTTGCGCTTGGAGCCTCGCTTCTGCCTTTGCAAGGATCTGTGCTCTTCATCCCAACCTCTCCAAAATTTGAAGGTCTCCAAGCCATCGAACGGATGCACGAGCACCCAATCGCCCACCATGTCAGCCTTTGCTGGGAAACATTGGGTTTAGATGGGCGGTCAAACTTGTCCGAGTTCAACGTTGGACCTTGTCCTACGGCCCTAGGGTCCTACAATCTGGGAACTTGACACCATGGTGGCTGCCCTGACTGGCCACTGGACTACATTACACAGAGTTCACAAAAGCAAAGTAACATATTGACAGTCAGGGAATGAAATGCTTTGCGCATGTGCACCTTCCTGGACCCTAGGCCCTTGGCCTGGGGGCCTGGTGGGCCTCATGATCCTAGTCCTAATGATCCTAATGTCCTAATGGTCCTAATGGTCCTCATGATCCAACAACTTGCAAAACGCCTCCAATGTGAATTCAAAAGCCTGAGCCGATCCAATCCCGGAACTGACAACCTGGCATTGAACCCTGAAGAGTCTCAACAACACGCTAGAAAAACAGGGGCCTGAACTTTGTACACAGGAAGACTGAAACAAAAGACTTATTTGAGGACCTTAGGCATTGAGCAACTTCAAGCGAAGCCCACATCCCGAATTATTCGTTTTATTACTAATAATTACTAATAGATCAGCCGACTTGTGAGCGCCAGCACCGTGGCCGCTACATGTTGTGAGATAGCAAACTTCTCGACATTAGGCCGCCAAGTTCAATCTGTAATAGTAGTAAAGTTTAAAGTAATAAATTATAAAACTTACATTCTCAAACAATAGAATATTTAAGTCTTCCAAATCTACGGAATCTACGGCTATGGTGGCTGTGAAAACAATGTCGGTAGAGTTTAAGGATTCGACATATAACGGATAGAATTTGATAACGATACAAGGCTTGCTCCCGGGGCCACGGCATACCTTTGTCTCGGAGCCATTTGGTAAACAAACTGGTTACTGGCCGCTCCCTGAGCAATGATCAGTCACCAATCAATAATTTATTTAATCTCATTGAATCTCATCCCTGGACAGCCTAAGGCCTAAGGCCTAAGCCCTAAGCCCCTAAGCCAAACCTGTCCTAGCCCCCAGGCCTGGAAGCTCTAAGACTCTAAGGCTCTAAGGCCCTAGGCGCTAAGGCCTAAGTCCTAAGCCAGGAAAATACATAGTACGTTACGACAACATTCGAGAACGAATCGAAATTGCCAGGAATGCAAGACAATGAGATAATGCATTCGGCAGCTGGATGAGCTTCAAACATGTTCTACCTGATTCTACCTGGTTGATGCAGTTACAGTTACAGTTACAGTACAGCACAGTTACATTTACACCAGGACTTCGGGGTCAGGGCGGAAACAGCACGATTATCTGATTACCGAAGAAACGATTGGAATGTGAGTGGAGACGCATGAGTTGGCTCCCGGTATATATGTTTCGTGCAAACAACATTTGCGCGATGATGTGCAACTGTACAATGTACAACGAACCACACCACCTTACCACTCACAAACAGTCAGAAACGGTGACCAAGGACAATCACTCATTCCACAATCTTAACAACATATTATATTTGCACAAGTAAAATCATAATCATTATAATCAGCTCAGTACAGCATCGAGAAACCTGCGGCAGCCTGTCCGCATTGTCCACAATAGAATGCACAGTGCAGTTCCACTCCGACTGGAAATCGATGAGGTCACAGAAATGCCCAGGTGAGACTTGAATCGCCTTTGTCAAAGATTCATCCGCAGGAAGCCGCAATTTCGTGAAAACCGAAGAACCACCCACATCCTCTTCCGGCCAGAGCTGCAATTGAAGGTAGGACACTTGCCAGGAAGCGTAGTTCACATATCCGATGTGAAACCAGAAGTCGTCACCTGGGTAACGGCTGTCTTTGGGGGCATCCTCAAGCAACATCTCCAACCATCCGCTGGCTTCGGCACCATTCAGCTGTGAGACATCTTCACCATCTCGGGCACTGACACGTGTCAGCTGCAACACCACATGGCGGCTGTCCAACAAGGTTTTGTTGTGTTTCAATTTTTTCTGGCGTGCCTCGGCAGGAGCAGACAATGATGACTTCTTCTGGACCCTCATGGGCACAAAGTTCTGGCGCAGGATGGCACAAAGATTCTTTGCAAACTGGAAACCTTGCAGTCCTCGTCCCTTGCACACACATCGGCCCAGCAAGCAACAGGTCCTTGGACGGCTTGGCGGCATCCGTGGAATGGCCTCACAATCATCATGCCTGATGAGGGCAGCACGGGATTGGAAATCCTCTGCCAGGCTGCTTGTCAAAGCCGCTGTCTGACGACCAAGGCCGATGGTGGCCTGCTCGAATGGCTATGGCAGTTTTGGCTATGACAGCTATAGCTAGCAGCTAGTAACGGCTAGTAACAGGCTAGTAAGCGGCTAGTAACGGATACTTAGACTTACCAGTTCGGTAAAGCCTCGTACCTTAGTAAAGCTTAGTAACTTAGTAATAGTAAATTAGTAAACTTTAATAAGTTTAGTTGGTTTAGTTTAGTCTTTAGTAAAGTTAGTAACCGTCAGCAAAATAGAGGCTTGGCTTAGTGGCTTAGTGACTTAGTGGCTTAATATGGGCGGCTAGGGCCAGCGCTAGGGCGGCTAGGGCTAGTAAGCGGCTAGTAAGTAGCGGCTAAAAATATTGACTCCGAGGGCACTGGGGCTGGGGACGAGTGTAGAGTCCAGAGTATTTGATCAGAACCCAACAACTCACCAGCGATTCTCATGGGGTTCCAAGCACACAATACAGCAAATCAAGTCAAGTCTTAAGTCCTAAGGCCTAAGGTTGAGGCCCTTAAGCCTAAGGTCTTAAGTCTTAAGTCTTACGTCAAGAGTCAAGACTTAAGTCTTGAAACTCAAAATGACTACTGACTACTGAGCGGCTACTGAATGTGGTGAGCCCCACTGGGATCCTCGATCAACCACCCCTCCCGGCCCACCTCGGTAAAAAAGTCTGCTGGCATGTGGATTCGGGCCACTCGGAAGGATGGCAACATGTTCGGATGCCTAGTCCAAGTCCCGAGGTCCAGTGCCGAGAGGTCCGCAAACGGACGCTGCAACTTGCAGAACATCTCAGAGAAAACATCTGGGCCGGTTTGCCTTCGAAAGTCTGCCACCATCTGCAAAGAGGCTGCCTGTTCTCGTTTTTGAGCTTGTCTCTCTTGATTCTCGGCAACTGCAAATTCATGCAACTTCGCTTCGATTTTTGCAGAATGGCTGCTGGCAACATCCTGTGCGATCTCCATGGAAACTGGCACCACAGCATCCCCGGCCTCGGCGACTGGAGCTGACGCCGGCAACGCAAGAGGGTTTGTGCCAACAGGTTTGAAGGCAGCAAACCCTCGCTGGGCACTCCTTCGACCCAGCTTGCCAAGCCTCTCCCAGTATTGCATGTCCTCTTCAGAAAGAGCATGGTACTCGTTCTTCAGGGCAGGCATCCGGTCACGCATCGTGCCGCCTCGCAAGTGATGGCTCATGAAAGCCTTCCAAGAGCCACCGGCGCGATTGTCTGCAGCGGGGGCACGAACTCCAGAGTCGGTCTCTCGCGTTTCGTCTTCCTGGGCACCTTGATCGCAGTCTTGTCTGAAAAGATCAACGGACTGCCTGAGGATGGCATTCCTTCGGCAAACCCAGGAAGCTGACACATTGACGAGGTTTGGGATGTGAGTCTGGGTGCCCTGTATTGTTGTGATTCTCCGGGTTGAGGCGTGTCGCGCTTCAATCTCAGCAATTCCCAGCGTGAAGGTGGTGGCCAGCGTTGTGAGGATTGCTCGGGCCGTCAAGCCGGTTCGCTCCGCATGGGTTGGGAACTTGTCTACAAAGGCAGAACTCAAGTCGTCCAGCATGCCAGGACACGCAGCGATGGCCGTGCTGTCGTCCACGCCATCAAGAATCCGAAACCTTGGATGAATAGGTGAAATTGTGAAACCCAAGCTGTTGAACTCAAGGCTTTTCAGGGTCTTGTTGTGGCTGGGACTTGAGGAAAATTTCAGCTTCGCAATTTTCACAATCTTACCAGCCTTCATCACTGCCTTTGAACAATTGCAAGGACTCTAGGACCTAGGACTTTAGACTCTAGGACTCTAGGGATCGAAGGCTCGTTGAAAGTCGAGTCTAAGCGATTCTAAGCCTTTCTAAGACTCTAAGACTCTAAGATTATAAGAGTTTAAGTATGAGTGTAAGAGTCTCAGCCTAAGCCTAGGCCTAAGCCTAAGCCCCGCCCCTAACCCTGACTCGCCTTGCTCTACTCTACCCTCTACCTGAACCTAAAGTCCCTATAGGCCCTAAACTTTTCTCACTTTCATCTACCTAATCACCTAATCACCTAGCACCTAGTCACCCCTAGTCCTAGTCCTAGTCTATCCGATACGATAGGAGCGATCCGATAGGACAAGCAAGGACTCCACGAACAAGTTTGCTTAATGTCTCCCAAAAGAGACAATCGGACTGGATAGGCTTGCCATCTTGTCTGTATGTGCAAGGCCAGGGCGCTCCCCAAGCACGACAGCATACGGAAAAGAAGGCACTGGTGATGGCGAGTCCATGCACGCAGTGGCAAGCCGACTTGCTCCTTGTGAAAAGCCTCATGCATCTTGGCCCAGAATACATCCATCAGGACACCTCGAGAGGCTTCCAGCACAGGAAAAGACCTTTCACTCCCACGAATCGCTTTTTCAGCCTGCACCTTCTCCCATGCGTCACCAACAAGCTCAAGCAAGGCATAAGTCAAATAGACAGTGGGACCAATGGCAATTCTCATGAGCAAGAGATACGGCCCCGGCGAGCTTTGAGCCCAAGCAGCAAACTTTGATCGCCACTGCCGCCTCTCCTCATGCCACTTGGCGTTCTGGTCTTCTTCGGGTATGGCATTCTGGTGATCCTGTTGATGTGCATGGCCATCAGCATGTTGCTCATCCTCACCTTCTGCAGCTCCGATCGCCTGCGCAGGTGCTCCGGGAGCTGGACCATTGTCTACCAGCAAAGCTGCCCATCCTTCTGCAGCTTCCGGGGCCGCTCTGTCTTCAAGGACGCTGACCTTGTGACCATGCCTCTGCAGCCACATTATGGCCAAAGGCCCCAAAAGCTGATTATGCGAATCCAGCAAGCCGAAATACTCAGTGGCAAGTTCCGAGTGGGTCCATCGGCCTCTTGGAAAAATCGGCGCCTTGCTTGGCAAAAGACTCGGCACAACATACTTGAAGAAACACTGCAGGATAGCTTCGCGATTGGGAAAGAGCTCGGTCGTCCAAAAATCGATGGTGTCTGACTCTAGATCTCCATTGAAGAAATATGTGAGAAGGCACCGGCGGCGGCTCTTCTTGCGGGCCGGAGCACGTCTATGTCTTTGTCCCTCAGGCACAGGCCCCAAGAAGCAATCATACACTGCCGCCTGGTGGTCCTTGCAACGCCCGTCTGGCGGGGGGCCAGCACGGATCCGGAGCCTCTCATCGATGCAAACCATTAAGCACTCCTGCAGAGACCGGAGCGAATTGGCATCCAGCATGCACATGGCACTTGCTATCATTGAAGAAATTTGAAGCTTGGGGATGTCCAGTGCATAGCCCTTTCCAAGAACTGTTGCACAAGCATGGTGATCGCACCCATAATGACACTTCACAAAATGGGGATGGTCCAACTGGATTGCCCTTTCACAGCGATAATTTGCACTGAAACGGTCAGTGTTCACCATGGACACTGGCAGGGCAAATGTAGCAGAGACTGCATTCAGTTTTGGGATCACCGCCAGCAAAGCCTTCTGACACTGTCGGAGGCATTCCGCCGTATTCCGTTCGATTGCCTGCAACCACGTCGGCGATTGTCCCGTGATGAGAAAGCACGGTCCACTTTCGGCAGATTCATCATTTGGTTTTTGTTGCAGCAAAACACTCACCTGGAGCTCCGATTGCAGAACCTTCGCTAAAGCATTCTTCTCCTTCGAAGCACTACCACTACCGTCACTACCGCGACTCTGTGTGGTTGTTTCTCCTGCTGCTGCTGGCACTCGAATTCTCGACGGAGTCTCGTCATATCTGCGCTTCACTACCAAAAGCAGCGGCTTGTACTGGCCACATTCACTGTTGCAAAGTTGGGCCACCATGACAAGCAACTGCTCCCATAGCAAGCCAGAGAAATTAATGATTCCAGAAGCGCATTGGGCATAGCGCTTGCACAGCATAAATGTGGACTCGCCCAAACTGTCGCTTTCGGCTTTGAGCGATGTCACTGAGCGACCCACTTCGTGCATCAATGTGCGAGCTGTTTCTTCAGGAGTTTCTTCGAGCTGTTTTGACAACGACTTCGTCATCACCACCTGATTGAGGCCTTGCTGTAAAACAGAACCACTTGTAACAACCTGAATCTCATCAATCAACGCTTGTGCAGCACTGGAAGACTTGGCTGTGGACTCTCTCTTTTTCTGCAGTGCCAAACGGGCATCTTCAACGCTGTGACTTCGTTGCGACTGCAGCTGTTGCTCCGCAGCCTCCTGAGCCCTCAAAGCAGCCCTGTAGGTGTGGCTGCCGCGCAGCCCTGGTGGACGGCCTCGGCCTCTATGCTCTGGCTGCGGCCCTGGAATGGAACTCTCTGCGCCCAATGGCACTTCAGGCGCCAGACTGTCTGTGGCTTCGTCTTCGTTGACTAGCAAATCTAGCCAACCAGACTCACCAAACTCAGACATTGCAAGAATACGAAAGCGCGATTGGCATGACCATGCCACAGGTTTTTCCAATGCCCAGGGCCTATGGCCTATGGCCTATGCCTAAGCCATAGTCGAAAGCCGTGCGCCCATGGAAACCTGGAGCATTCCAGGCGCCACATGATTAACATGGCACTTGTCACTTGTTGGCAAAGCAATGACTTATTGCGTAGAGCAAAGGTTTGGAACTTTTGCAGGGCTTACCAGACCTGCCAAAGCTGGTAAAGTTTCTGCTGATGTCTAGTCTAGTCTAGACTCGAGACTCCAGACTCTGTCTTTTACTGGCCTGGTAGACGTGTCTAGAGTAGAGTTTAGAGTGGGTCTGCTAGGCTGCTAGGCTAGAATGCTAGAATCCGCTAGAATCTAGAATCTAGAGTTCGAGTTAGGACCATGAGGACGTTAGGTTGGACCGGTTAGGACGTCGGTTAGGACGGCGGAAGTCATTAATTGAACAGTGTAAAATGTCCACTGTCGACAGCAGAAAGCAAGAATTTGATTGTTGACCACGCTGCACTCTGCTGGCAATTTCCAATAGCCAAGTCCGAAATGCACTGTAAAATCTACACCCGAACTCCTTAAACGAAAACCATAAACCCTGAACCTCGACATCATCCAAACTATAATCAATGGCATTGGGACTACTTTGTAGTGTCTACAGCCTCTTCTTTGCCCTGGTCCGGATTTGCCGACATGGCCTTCGAGCCTCAAAAGCTCATGACCGCAGCGGTCGCATTTCTGAGATTCTGAGGTAAGCAGGCAAACCACTAAAAGCCATTAGGATGGGAGTCTCGGCCTCTCGGGCCTGCCCTGAAGCCTTCTGGCGGTCTACGTCATACATCTATGTCAATGTCGAGTCTATCTGAGTCTATCTGAGAGTCTATCTATGTCCAAGGTCGGGAAGCTAAGGCTAAGGCGGCTAAGGCAGCTTGAATTTCATTCGCTTCACACCTAAAATACAAAGATCCTTAACCTTGAGGCCTTAGGGTCCTTAGAGTCTTAGAGTCTCAGAGGCCACAGAACCGTTTTGGTGACACCACCTGATCATTTGCCAAACAAACATACCCAGAGTGGGATTTGAGGCAGTAAGGGCCCGGAGCCTTGGGATTTGAGGGCTTGGAGTTTCTGGGATTTGAGGGCTTGGGGTTTCTGGGATTTGAGGGCTTGGGGTTTCTGGGGTTTGAGGGTTTGTTCTGTGACATCCTGAAGGGCCTCGAGAAATCAAAACTCGAAACTCAATGTGCAAATCAACTCTAAGCCTCTAAGCTCAAAACTGAAAGCTCAGACTAAACCACAAGTCAGTTCTCACAGATTATAGAATCATAGAACTCTAGGACCCTAGGACCGCCCTAGGACTCTAGGATTCTAGCAGCTAGCAGATTCTAGCAGAAAATGCATGTGGCTCATTGGAAATTGAAGCCCTGAACTTATCCCCCAGTCTCCGTTGCACGAATCAGCCAAACCGCACCACGGATACTCTCAGACTCTCAGCTGGCCTTGGCCGGGCAAGCTGAACCCAGATGTCCAGGTTCTGTTTTGTGATGACCACGTGATAGCCAGGGTGGTTCGCTGCCTTGCACCCTTCCATCACCGAATCGATAAACCTGGCACGGAAGGGTTCAATGTAAATCGCATCAATTTAAGTAGCGGCTATAGGACAAAGGACCTGGGACCTGCGTCGATGACGATGGGTTTCACATCTTGCACAATAATGTTATGGGGCTTAAGCTTGCTCAGCTGCTTCGCTGAAAATCTATTCTAACTCTGAAGTTCTAAACTTGGGAGAGCTGAAAGCTCTGTCATCACCAAATTACCATATGTTTCCACCGACATGTGCTTGCAATTGCCCCTGTAGCACCGTTTGAACACCAAGAGACCAAAAGATTAAGGGCTTAAGGCTTAAGGCTTGGGGCTCAACCCTCGACACTGACGCCTCGACTCTACACTCGCTGCCTGAACCCTCTGGAGCCCCGTACCCGCCGCTACCAGAAGCCCTACATTACAACACCACATCCTAGACCCTGCCGCCTCCTCATGGGTGTTTGTTCAGCAGTACGGGATTCTGCTTCATCAAAACCCATCACCTGCTCCATGATTGCTGCATTGGGAGGTTGTGGGCCTGTCAGGAGATTTAGAGCATCGCGGAAGGTCACCTCGTAAAGCGGGTGCTGGACAACAGTGCCGGTGACATGTCGCTTGTTCCTCTGCTCCGAGAAGGGGTCGCACGGAGTACCAAACACTGCCAAATCTACAATGGCCCTCTTGCGGCAACTTGCTGCATTGGAATGAAGCAAGCACGGAACTTCTGCATTCTGGTCAGCAAACGTGTTGTGCAAATGCTGTAGCTGCTTCCCATAGTTGTCATGAAGAAATCTCCGAAAGGAAGCCTCTGGTTCAGAAGCTCCAAGCACTTGGAATTCGATGCCAAGCGCCTGAACAAGCAGCTGGTATAGGCCCCACAAGGCAAAAAACATTGGCCCTACTACCAAATTAGCCTATGGGACTAAGACTAAGACTATGACTATGGCTATGAAGCCTTAGACTTATTATTATAAGCACAAGGCTTGTCACAAGGCAGACGGCAGAGGACGTCGGCTTCCAACACAACTTTACTGAATTCCATACAAAGGTCACCGGGGCGCTAGCTGTCTTTCGGGTCTGGTTTACATTGACATGGTTAGTATGCAGTGCATGTTAGCGAGGACCGAACATAGGAAAAACCCGAAACCCAGACCGGTAGGCCAGGGACCCTGCCACATAAGCTATTCGGATTTAAAGCCTACTCCTCGACTAAGCCCTGACAAGCTCTGGGATAGGCCCAGTGAGGGGCTCGGCGAGGCTTGAGGCTAGAAGCTTGACACTTTTGAGGCTGGAGGCTTGAGGCTTTTGGAGGCTGGAGGCTTGAGGCTTTTGGAAGCTTGAGGCTTGAGGCTGGGCGCTTGAGGCTGGAGGCTGGAGGCTTGAGGCTTTTGGAAGCTTGAGGCTTGAGGCTGGGCGCTTGAGGCTGGAGGCTTGAGGCTTTTGGAAGCTTGAGGCTTGAGGCTGGGCGCTTGAGGCTGGAGGCTGGAGGCTTGAGGCTTTTGGAAGCTTGAGGCTTGAGGCTGGGCGCTTGAGGCTGGAGGCTGGAGGCTTGAGACTTTTGGAAGCTTGAGGCTTGAGGCTGGGCGCTTGAGGCTGGAGGCTGGAAAGAGTAGAATCTTGAATAAGGACCTGGGACCTCGCTTTATGCCATACTATATTACTATATGCAAATCCCCCAAACCCAAGACCTACACCGCAACTAGGACCAGCCAGGAGCTAGGACCAGCTAGGCTAGGACCTACGGTTGATGATATAAATCCTGCATTACCCATAGTAAGGAATGTACCATAATTCCTATAGTGTAGGGTCATTAAGGTCATGCAGGATTTATATCATCAACAGCAGGACCTAGGATTCACTCTTCTTCGGGCTGCTTCTGTGCAAACGAGTTTGCAAAATTAGTTAATCAGTCCAGCAGACACAACACCTGCCCCGCCTTGAGAGCTGCAGCTTCTGCAAAACTGCCCGTGCAATTACTCAGAAGCTGGACCGGGTGCTCCAAAAAGTTGGTACCTTTTGGGTGCATCTTCCGAGTGGCTGCCTTCACAGCTTGAACCCACCAACTATCACTCGATTGGGGACTCAAAGGCACGGGTACATCGTCACCCTCCACAGACGGTGACCTGCAAGCTTCCGCTTCCTCTGTCAACGTGGAATCTGAGTGGCTGAGCTCAAGATCATCGTCGTCTCCTGCAGGCCCTAGAAGTGCTTCCCAGCCCGACATGGCGGTTGTTGGCGTCGCTCACGCACACCAGAAAAAAACACTGCTAGCTAGCTGGACCCTGGACTGTTGTCTCCCCATTGCATTTAGAATCCAATCTGCTCGCTCCGACATATACTTTAAAAACAGATTCTACCAGATCCGTCAGTTGCTAGAGCTGCTAGACTCTGCTAGAGACTAATCAGTAATCCAAAATAAACTCTGGGATTCTAGGTCAGTTTGAGTCTAGTCTAGGTCTTTAGGCCCGCCTGCTACATCATGTATCCTACACAAGAGCAGGACAGCTGCAAATATGCTGCTAGATTCAGATGCTCCACAATACTCCATTCATGGAAAATTTCAGCAACATGACATGTCTGCAAAATTTGTTGATAAAAATTGTGGCTTGAGGCTGCG